CATAGGAGCAGAAAGGCTGATGAAGGGTCTAGGCCCGAAACGTCAGCCTTTCTGCTCCTATGATGCTGCTTGGCCTGCTGTGTTCATCCAGCTCTGCACCTTGTTGTCTTGGATTCTCGAGCATCTGCAGTTCCTACTATCTCTCACACTTGATATTATACAGGTTTCATGGATACCTTCCATTGTGGGACAGGTGGGTATTGCGCATACCTGACAACAGCTTTAGGTTCCATCAATCCTTTCTATGTGTCTTTCCCATTCTAAACCATGCTGACCTTTTTATAGGTGCTGACCAAAGATCTTGGAGGCAATTCTAAATGCTCGGAGTTCACCAATGAAATCTGCCGAAGAGTGCGGGATCATGATTGAGTCATCATCCAGTTTCTTGCAAAACCAGCTTCAACATAGATTCTCCATAACTGCTGTGCAAACAACTGCTGAAAATTGTCAGTGAAATGTGCTGCAACATTTCATCGTAACTTTTGTTGAAAGCTCTGATTTGCTGTCTTTAGTGGCATTCTGGTTTGTTTTCTATTTATTGAATATTTTTGTTCAGACTGACAGCGTATTGTCCTTTTTTTTTATTGAAAGCTGCTAATAAGATTGGCCATGAGATTTCATTGTTCATTGCCATTTCCCTTTAATTAAAATGTATTACAAAATGTCTTCTCCCATTTTGCCAACTCCTTGAAAGGCTATTTAAATGTTGTTGCTTCAAAGACCAAACACTGCTTCTGTTCTGCTGTTGAAGATGGCATTACAAATCGAGCTTCTTTTGTACTTGTTTAAGAAAACATTTTGCTACAAACTGGCTCTGACCATAAAACTGATCACACCGCAGATTGCTATTTCAAATCTTTCAGCTAATTGCGCACATTTGCTGATCTTCAAAAAGACTTAAAATTAAGCTTGTTTTCAGTCATAAGGGCAGATTTTAAAAGCTCTTACATATTTTTTTAATTCACTAAAATATTGACCACTGTGCACCCATGAAACTAGTATAAAGTGTTCTGTACAGCTTTTTAAAGTCATTTTTGGTTATTAATATTGTGTTATTCAAGTATGGTGGACTGATTACTGATTTAGAAATGCTTATTTTTGTGATAAACCCATAATCAGCTGTATTAATAAAGCTGCATGCATCAATTTATCACTCCAAAATATATCCAGGAATATTTCCAATATAGATTTTGTTTCTGGATTAGGTTCTGAAATACTGCCCAGTTGCACTAGTTTATTGTAGAGTTTACATTTGGTGATTAATGAATTTCAGCAGAAATTCAAACAAAATAATTGACTTGGCAAAATCATAAGTGGAATTTAAAGCAGTAACTGTTTGCTCCTAGATCTTATCTTGAACTTCAAATATCAGATGAGTAATCTTGTTGATGGTGAATTACTGTTTTGGAACGTTGCTTAAGGAAGTTGCTGCTCTTAGTGGTAAAGAGCTATTTCAGAATGGTTCAGCTATCTCTTTCCATCTGCTTTCCAATTCAAATGCAGTCAATTAACAACAACTGATATATTTATATACTAATTTCATTGTAATAAAACATTCCAAGTGACTACTTATGAGCATTCTAAAGCAAAATATAACATCAAGCCAAATAATGAAAAGCTAAAGAGTGTCTCAAAAGTGGGAAAATAAGTATTGACGTTCCAGATTCTGCTCCACTGTACACACCAGTGTTAGGAGGATTTCGGGGCTGCTATCAATAGATTTCTTAAATCAGAATATCTTACCTATTAGGGAATTTCAGCAAGAGTTGAAAGCAGGCCACAAGGTTGTTCTGCCTGAGACATCATGGGATGTGAATGGTAAGTGAGAACAGACAGTGACTACTTGAACTTAACTACTACCTCAAGTTTTGTACAGCTAACACTTTCTTCCTGAATGGGCCAAGCCACAACATGATATTCAAGATTAGGATATTGACACCAGCTAGACCATCTCTCAGTAATATTCTGAATTGTAATGGGATCAGGACATAATAACAAGCCCCCAAGTTGGCTTCTGGGAAGGTGGCTACAGCTTTGTGTGGATAACACAGCTGAAACTCAAACTTGTGAAGTAAAAGCATTCACCCTGTCTTTCCTTTGTGTGTGAAATAAAAGATAATAGCTTGTCACTAGCTACTGCCCTTCGCCTTTGCACTGTGAGCTGCTCTCTTTGCAAATTCACCCTTTGAAGGAAAAGAAGAAAACCACCTTCAGAGGTACTGAAAATGTAAATCCCCGAATAGTGAATGAAAGACTGAGAATAAATGTTCCTAAAACCTCAACATCAGGAAACAGACAGTAGGGATTGAAAGAAAACAACTCATTGATATCTGAGATGACATTCCTTTCCTTTTCCCACCCATAATATTTGTTTTTAACTGTCTCTTTGTGTGCTTTTTTGTGTGGGTATGGAAACTTTTTTTAAAAAGGTGGTAGAGTTTAAGATATACAGTTACAGTGCTACACCTCCCCCTCACCTCCATCCAAGGAACCAAAAAAACCTTCCACATCAGACAGATGTTCACCTGCACATCCGCTAATGTGGTCTATTGTATCTGCTGTTCCCGATGTGGCCTCCTCTACATCGGTGAGACCAAGCGGAGGGTCCGAGACCGCTTTGTAGAGCATCTACGCTCGGTTCGTGACAAACGACAACACCTCCCAGTCGGGAACCACTTCAACTCCCCCTCCCACTCTCTGGATGATATGTCCATCCTGGGCCTCCTCCAATATCACTACGACGCCACCTAGAAACTGGAGGAGCAGCACCTCATTTTCCTCCTTGGGAGCCTACAACCCAATGGTTTCAATGTGGACTATACTAGCTTCAAAATCTCCCCACCCTCAGCCTTATCTCATGACCAACCCTCCCTCTCATTCCCGCTTCGTTGAAGTGTCTGTCCTTCCCACCTCACTGACCAATCCCCACCACTACCTACCTACATTCACCTATCACCATCTCACCTACTTCCCCACCCTGACCCCCCCTCTCTATTTATTTCAGAGCCCCCTCCCTCCTCCCTGATTTCTGAAGAAGGGTCCCAACTAGAAACAAGACAACAAGGTGCAGGGCTGGATGAACACAGCAGGAGACTATGAAGGGTCTAGGCCCGAAACGTCAGCCTCTCTGCTCCTATGATGCTGCTTGGCCTGCTGTGTTCATCCAGCCTTGCACCTTGTTGTCTAGGAGACTAGAAACGTCAGCTTTCCTGCTCCTCTGATGCTGCCTGGCTTGCTGTGTTCCTCCAGCTCCACACTATGTTATCTAATATTCATTTTGGCTTTCCTTGGAGAGCAGTATTTTCAGTCCCATTGCTTTTCCTGAGTTCAGGTTCCATGTTGACGAAACCTGGCGCCGGCCCCACCCCTAATGACGAGTGTTTGGGACTTCCTTGTGTTACCTGGGTAATGGTCAAGTGTTCTTGCCTGATGGCACTAGGTTAAAGCAGCCGTCGAAATGCAGTCGGACCTGTTACAGTGGGCCCCCAGCGAATACAGTCTAAAGGAATTCCTAACAAAATTCCGCTCGTCGTTACCGAAAATTGTGAAAGTCACCGAGGGTTTTTTGGGTCGCCGAGAGTTGGAGACACTCAGCGCCGGCGCAGTGAGTAATTCATTGTGGGAAGAGTGCGAAACTGCAGCTCGTTTAGACAAAACCATCAGATTATCTACGGAATTCCGAACTAGGAAATGCCTTTTTTAAAATATGTACAGGATCCTTCTTGGGTAGAAATTCAAGAATTATTTCGAAAGTTAGCCATCTAATTTATTTATTTAAACGAATAGACTATATACAGGACAATGATTTGGTGTCTCTTCAATACAGTCTGAAGTTTAGTTGGTACAAAAGGAATTTTTGTGCTCATTGTGGGAGTTCTGTTTCCAGTATGTCGTTGTCTCTGGCTGCGCCAGCATTTACTGCCTATCCTTAAACGCAGGCACCTCTTGCTGCAATTGTGGAATGTTGTGTGCAGTTTTGAACTCCTTACCTGAGGCAGGATATTCTGTCTGTGGTGGGAGTGCAGCAAATGTTTTCGGTATGTGAAGAGAGACTGGACTGGTTTGGACATGACAATAAAGGACATTCTTTTCTATATTCACCTGAGTTTAAAAGAACGAGTTGGGGTTTTATAGAAACCTATAAAGTTTTAACAGGACTAGACAGGCCAAACGTGATGAAGGTGATAGTAACCTACCTTCTGGTCCATTTAGTCATGGAGATTTGAAATAAAACCAGAAAGTGCTACAAAGACTCAGAAGATGAGGCAGCTTCTACGGGGAGAGAAGCAGTTAATGTTTCAGGTAACACAGTGTGGAGCTGGAGGAACACAGCAGGCCAGGCAGCATCAGAGGAGCAGGAAAGCTGATATTTCTGGTTGGGACAAAAAGCTTTCCTGCTCCTCTGATGTTGCTTGGCCTGCTGTGTTCCTCCAGCTCCACACTTTGTTCTCAGACTCCAGCATTGGCAGTTCTTACTATATCTAATGTTTCAGGTCTGTGATCAGAGCTTCGAAAAGTTAGTCATGTTTTGGTTTTGAGAAAATAAAATGAAGGCGATGGGAAGCACAAAAGCGAAGGATCGTGCTCGGGTAGGGGACAGAAGAGAATCAATGATGTAAGATTTTTTGGTGCAAAAGACAAAGGGAGTGGGGATGGGTAAAGCGATTAAAAGATGTGCCTTAGAAGAGGTGTAAATGGCAGGATCCTAAACAAACAGGAAATGAGAGAGAGAGAAAATAAAGAAATGTAATGTTGGCAGAGATTATGACCTAAAATTGTAGCCCAGATATGGCTGGTTATTCAGCACAAAGATGAATTGTCCTCAAAGCTGCTAGACCTTCTGAAGAAGGGTCTAGGCCCGAAACGTCAGCCTTCCTGCTCCTCTGATGCTAGAAGGTGGTGCTGAACTGTTTTCTTGAACTACTGCAGTCTTTATGCTGTTAGGTAGACCCAAATACTGTTATGAAGGGATTTCCGGGATTTTGCCCATGACACTGAGGAACTATATACTTCCAAGTTAGGATGATGTGTGACTTGAAGGGGAATGTGCAGCTCACATTCAGTGATACTGGTCTAATATCCATATTTTCGATCTACCTGCTGTACTTCAGCTCCTGTTCAGATCAGATGCCAAAGAATTTTTTTTCTATTAATTTTGTGGGATGTGGGCATCGCTGGCTGGCCAGCATTTCTTGCCCAGCCCTAGTTGCCCTTGAGAAGGTGGTGGTGAGCTGCCTTCTTGAACCGCTGCATTCCTCCTGCTGTGGGTTGACCCACAATGCTATTAGGGAGGGAATTCCGGGATTTTGACCCAGCGACAGTGAAGGAATGGCGATTATATTTCAGTATATCCTGCAGCAAATAACACAACTCCTGACTCCCCAAAGCTTGCCCACCATCTGGATGGCATAGGTCAGGAGAGTGGTGGAATACTCCCCACCTTTCTGCATGGGTGCAGCTCCAATGACCTTCAAGAAGCTTGACACCATTGAGGACAAAGCAACCAGCTTGATTGGCTCCTATTTCACCACTTTCAACATTCACTTCCTTCACCATCAATGCTCAATAGTGGTCGTGTGCACTGCAGAATTCTACCATGGCTGTTTAGACAATAGCTTCTAATTCACAACCTCTGCCATTTAGAAGGACAGGGGCTGCTAGGAGGTATTGCATGTTCCCCTCCAACTACTCATCGTCCTGACTTGGATATGTTATTGTTCCTTTGCTGTGGTTGGTCAAAATCCCAGAACTTTCTCCCTGATATCATTGTGGGACTACCTACAGCACATGGTCTGCAACAATTCAAGAAGGCAGCTCACCACCACTTTCTTGAGGGTGATTAAAGATGGACAATAAATGTTGGCACAGCCAGCGTTGCCCAAATTTCATGAGCGAAAAGAAGAAAAAAAACAGTCTGTTGGTGTGCCACAGGAGGTATAACTCGAATTAACAATCCATAAATAATTTGACCAGAAAAATCTTTGTTTCTACGTTAATGAAATCTGATGACTAGTTTATACAAAGTTTACAGTTAAACTTTTAAAAATAATTTTCTTATGGAATATGAATGATACTAACAAGCTTGATGACTGGCCTTGTGACTTGTGCATGTGACCCATTACTGTTGTGGCCTATCTCCTGGAGAAGCTCCCACGGTGTTGCTTGGTAGGCCTTTCACTACTTTGCATTGAACAGACAATGGTGAAAGAACTGTGTCAAAGTTGGGATGGTATGGCTCGAAAAGCAGTGTAAGTAAAGAAATATGTACGACACTGTTATATTGCTCCTCTATATAGAGTCATAGAGCATGGAAATAGACCTTTCAGTCCAACTTATCTGTGCTGAATAGGTTTCCCGACCTAAGCTAATCCCACTTGCCTGTGTTTGGCCCGTATTCCTCTTGAACCTTTCCTATTCAAATAGTGTTAAACCTTGTAACTGTACCTGTATTTACCATTTCCTCTAGCAGTTCATTTAATGTACGAACCACCCTCTGTGTGAAAATGTTGCCACTTAGGTCCCTTTTAAATCTTGCCCGTGTCACCTTAAACCTATGGTCTCTAGTTTTGGACTCCCCTACCCTAGGGAAAAGACCTTGGCTGTTCACCATATCAATGCCCCTCATGATTTTATAAACTTCTATAATGTCACCACTCAACCTCTACATTCCAGTTAAGTGTCCCAGCCTGTCCTTGTAACTCAAACCCTCCAGTCCCAGAAACATTCTGGTAAATCATTTCTGAAATCTCTCCAATTTAATAATATTCTTCCTATAGCAAGGTGACCAGAACTGTGCACATTGCTCCAAAAGTGGCCTCACCAATGTCCTCTACAACCTCAACATGAGGAACCAACTCCTATACTCAATGGATAAAGGATAGCAGGGCAGGGAAGTGATTGAAATCAAGATATGTTTATTCTTTTGCAGAGAGGGTTTATTGACTTCCTTAGTCTTATCCCTCTCATCCCATACTTATCATCATTTGTATTCCTTATGTCTTTTTAAATTGACCTGTTCAGAGGTTTTTAGATATCTCTGGAGCATGTGGGAATTGAACTCGGGTCTCCTGGCTCAGAGATAAGGACACTACCACTGTGCCACAGAGCCCACTCAATCTTAAATAATCTTACAAACTTAACAATATGATTAACCAGACATTAACAATGCTATCAAAACAATCTTAGTCCAATCAATGAATCACCTGATATCCAGCATTTAAAACTTTGCAAGCTGCACACATTGTGTGAAAAAGTGCTAAAAGAACATATCTCAGTGCAAGTGGCTGTATTATTCCAATGAGACTGATTAATGAAAGCCTGTTAAATCCAAAGAGGAAGTAAAGTTTAGAATAATTAAGAAATGTTTGCACAATGTGTAATGATACTATGGCTTTAAGAGGTCTATGCTGTCCTGTTTTTTTTTAAAGAAAGGTTTTAAGAGAGAGGTGCAGAGATGTCTGTTGAAAACACATAAACAGCTTCTGAAGAAGGGTCTAGGCCCGAAACGTCAGCTTTCCTGCTCGGCCTGCTGTGTTCATCCAGCTCTACACCTTGTTATCTCTTGTGAGGCCTTGGGTTTTGTTTTAAGTTGGAACACCCGCCCTACATCCCAGAGCCATCAACACACTGTGTTTTACTTTGAACTACACTGGAATTGTGAAGGTGGCCAAGCATAACATTGGACTGTGAAAGGGTGGAAAATTGGTCTAGTAACTGAAGGGAATCTATCAACAAATATATTGCATTTAAACCCTGATGCGGTGATGAGGAATGACTCCCTGTATTGACTGCAGGAACTAGTTGTGACACAATGAGTCGCAACAAGGGAATGTTTGAGTCATGGGGTAGCAGGCTTGGAGCTGGGAAACAGACAATGTTGCATTTACATAGGAAGCTGCAAGAGGATTACAGTGCCGCATTGTACAGGGATAAACACAGTGGCTCAGTGGTTAGCACTGTTGCTTCACAACACCAGGGACCTGGGTTCAATTCCACCCTTGGGCAACTGTCCCTGTGGAGTTTGCAAGTTCTCCCTGTGCCCTCTGGGTGCTTCAGTTTTCTCCCACAGTCCAAGGATGTGCAGGTTAGGTAGATTGGCCATATTAAATTGCCCTGTAGTGTAGGGATGCGTATGCTAGGTGGATTAGTCATGCTAAAAGCAGGTTTATAGGGTAGGGGTTTGTATAGGTTTTTCATTGGAGGGTCAGTGAAAACTCAATGGGCCAAATGGCCTCTTTCTGCACTATAGGAATTCTATGATATCTTGAGGTGTCATAACATTCAAGGCTATAGGTCAAATGCTGGAAAGTGGGATTAGTATAGATAGATAGATAGATAGATAGATCAGTATAGACTTGATGGCTGAAGGGCCTCCATGGAGGATGACCAGTGCTCAGCAGGTGTTGGAGAGTGAGGAAGGAATGGGGAGGATTAGGAATGGGTTTGATACTGATCTAATGTGAACAAATGATCTGTCAAATTCAAAGGGTTATGGGCGGAAACTGAGGACAGATTACACTTCTTGGAGGGGAGGATGAGGTCCAAAGGTTAGAGTCATTGAGGATCCACGGTCAACCAACAGTGGGGTCAGAGGTCACAGAAGTGTCATTTCAGACACTTGTATGTAGATGATGTCAGTGGGCCGGAATAAGTGGAGAGGGAATGGAATTGTAATGTGGGTATATTGGATGCAAGTGAGTTTGCAATAGAAGAGAGAGGAATTACCTTGCAAAGGGAGGAATGAGAATTTAAATCAGAATTGATTTAAAAATGTCAAGGCACAACAACAGAAAGTGACTCCAAGAAAAACCTCCCCACATAATGAGACAACAGGAGCTGAGTGGGTTCAGAATGAAAAATGTCTGAAATATTGTCCAAGGAAACAGGCAAGGTGTTGAGCAGACTTGAAGAAAAACACATGCAGAACATGAAGAGGTTGAGCCAGCTAGAGGTGGGTTAAGACACGAGTATCAGTCCAGTCAGAAGGAGGAGGTTAGCGAAATAAATAGCAGAGGGCAGCAGATGAGTCACCTGGGTAAGATGTGGAAAAATTTAGATTAGATTTAAAATTATTGTCACATGCACTCAGGCACAGGGTACAAGAATACAGTGAAAAGTGTACAATGTTGGCACACACGCAGTATCTTAGGTACAAGGTACCTGGGTACAAAATCTTAGTTACAGAATAAAGAAATGTTAAAAAGTTCAGCACTACAGTCTTTGTAGTATAAAAGTAGAAAAATAAAGTTTTTAAAAAGTCAAACATTACAGTAAATGGAAATGAGAAGGTGAGTTTGCTGGGTCTAAAGACCGGAAGGGTTAAGGAGGGTCCTTAGTGATGAAGGACACTCAAGACAGTTGTATTGATAAGGTGTGAATCAAGGCTTTAGACATCTCAATACCCTTTTAGTTGCTTAAAAACAAACTTTCATTTGTTTAACTTTGGAACTTTGAAGCAGACAACATTAGAATCCCTAGTGGTGCATGTCCAGTTGAGGTTAGATTGAGATCAGACACATTGCAGGAGATATTCTGCCCCATTGAATCATTATCCAACATTCTTTGCATTTTTCTTAATTTCACTGGGCCATTTGCAGTGCTTGCCCTCCTTAGCCACTCAATTGAAACAGATTCGGAGTGAATTATTGGTTTTCCAAGGCACTACTCAGCTTCCAGCTGAATGGAACTATAGTTTTGTGAAGGTATAACATCCTCATGCACAGAACAAAGGCTTATGCTGCCCAGTTCTCCCTTTCTAACATGTGGCACAATACATGGAGCATCAACGTACAGTGTTTCTATACTAGTGAGAAATTAAATGAATTTGTTCAGAAATTTCTTTTAAAAAATCATGCAATACATTGAAAGAAAATTCCAAGTGAACAGAATAGTGTTGCCTGACAAAAGGAAATATGTATTAGTATCTGTACAGTTCAATAACAAATCATTTTATATATCTTTGTTTTTGCAGATCCTTAGGATTCATTCCGTATACTCACAAAAGAGAGCCATTGTGGAATCCAACAATCGAACAGTCCTGTCGATCCCTGTAAACCTAGAGTCGGTGATGTTTAATGTGGTACACCAGAAACATAAAAGTGGTAACTTTTATTTCTCAAACACTGCAGTCATTACTCATGGGAACATTGAATCAGATTGTATAATAGCTCAATTAGTGAAACCTACTGTCATCCTTTGGTCAAATATTGATTTCCGCTTCATTTGCACAGCAAACAAACCAATGGAAATTATAAAGCTCTTTTGCTCCTCTCCAGTCTGTTAATATTCCTCATGCAAACCAAAAAAAAAAAATTATTTCACAGGATGTGGAAGACCATGTTGACTATCCATTTTTACATTGTCATGAGAAGGGGTTTGTGCACATTCTCTTTGAAATTCTCAAGCAATACGGTTGGTTGGGGACATTCAGGACATTGACCCAGCTACAGGGTGTTGTAACAAGTTCAGTGAAGGGAGGGCAGTGCAACTGGATTTTCTTCCTGTAATTACAACGTAAGGTTTTGGACATTCAAAGATAACTTTCACATGATTCTGTTCCGAGTGCCTCAAATAGCCAGCAACATTCGTACCACATAAATGTCAAACAATGATCATCTCCAACGGGAGAAAGTCTAATCTTCTTCTCTTCAAGTCCAGTTGTGTTAATGATAGGTTTAGAGTTCGGGAGAAAATTCCAGGAAAGATACTCTTCCAGAAGCCATGCAAATGACAAAGAACATCCAGAATGTAGTCACTAAACTGCTGCTTTCATTCACCTTCATTTGCCTGGAACCATTCTTTATGTCGAGGGGAATAAAGACCTATGTCTTGGAAAGTTGTGGCAAATTTTCTCAAATGGTTGGCGGGGGGGCAGTTCCAGGATTTTGACCCAGCAACGCTAAAGAAGCAGTGATATATTTCCAAGTCAGGATAGTGATGGCTTGGAGGGCAACTTTCAGGTGGTGTTCCCATGTGTCTTCCCCACCTTGTTCTTTAAGGAGGGCGTAGAGGCCATGGGTTTTGGAGATGCTCCTGAAGGAGCGTTGGTGAATTTGTGCAGTTCATCTTGTAGGTGGTACACACACTGCTGCTACTGGGTGTCAGTGATGGAGGGAGTGAATGTTAAAGATGGTAGATGGGATGCCAGTCAAGTGGGCTGCTTTGACCTGGGTGGTATCGATGTTGGAGCACTCATCCGTTTTGGGCAATCATCAGTATCCCCACTTCTAATGTTTGGATGGCTGGTCATTGAAAAAGTAGCTGAAGATGATATGTATAGATTAGTATGGCGCTTCTGCTAGGCACTCTGCAACCACATTTATAAAAAGTCTGTATTCAAGTTGCTGCTTCCTTCAGAAAATTAAATAGAATCTGAAAGTTAACAGGGAACAAAAACAGAAGCCATTGAGAAATAAAGTTGACAAGCCAAATAACTTTATCTCATTCCATTCTTTCATATGACATTGTCACATAGGTCCCTTTACAATGAAGGAAGTGTTGCTACATTTCAATTTGCCTGTCACAATCACATCAACGGACAACCTGACCTATAGAGAAATGAACAATCCCAAGTCAAAGGATCAGGAATTGCAACAGCTCAGTGTGAAACAGATATACGAACAGGAATTTCTGCTGGGTCACAGTATAATTGACAATGGCAAGTACATAATTTGCTTTGAAGTTTTTATTTGTTGTTATGTGTCCTTTTTTGATCCTTTAATTTTTATTCCTGTTTCCTACAATGTGTTGTATTCGTTTTAATTCTCAAGATGATAGAGAATTCTAGATTCCATGTACTGAGCAGGACAGATCCATTTTTTAAAATCGTGTTCCAGCTCACACAACAAAACACTGGAATAAATAAAGTAAAAAATGTATTTTCTTCTCTCCAAACTCTTTTTTTTATTAAAATGTTCAAATCGGTTTATTCCATTTAACTTCTGTTCTGAATGTGTTGCAATTCTAGGATATTTGGCTCCCTTGTATTCAAATATGTGCTGTAGGTAAGAAAGCTCAGTCTTCAGCTTGAATAAAGGCAAAATAATGCAGATGTTAGAAATCTGAAACAAACAGAGTGTGCTGGAAAACCTCAACAGATCAGGTAACACATGTGGAGAGAGAAACAGAGTTAATGTTTCAAGTCTGGTATGACTCATCTTCAAAACAGGGGTTGCACAGTGGCTCAGTGGTTAATGCTGCTGCCTCACAGCACCAGGGATCCAGGTTCAATTCCACCCTCGAGCGACTGCCTGTGCAGAGTTTGCACATTCTCCCATGTCTGGGTGTTTCACTTTCCTCCCACAGTCCAAAGATGTGCGGGTTAGGTGGATTGGCCATGCTGAATTTCCCATAGTGTCCAGGGATGTGTAGGTAGGTGGATTAGCCATTGAATTACAGGGTTACAGAGATGGGGTGGGTCTGGGTGATATGTCCATGGAGGGCCAGTGTATACTCAATGGGCTGAATGGCCTGCTGTAGGATTCTTAAAAAAAGTACTGGTTCTGAAGAAAGTTCCACAACAGGTTCTGAAGAAGTCATAACCAGACTCCAAACATTAACTCTGTTTCTCTCTCACAGATGCTGCCAGGCCTCCTCCTGCATTTCTCCATCATTCTGTGTTTGTTTCAGTCTATATCTCCACAGATATCATTCCAGTAGGTTTGCTAGGTAGAAAATCATAGCTGATTTCCCTTTGCCGAACTCAATGGTCCTCAGAATAATTGTGCTGCGATAATGCACCTCACCTGGGGTCCATAAACTCAGAAAGATGGGATATTAAATCTGAGACAGTCTAAGCTGCATAACCCCAATGTCTCCCCTTTCTCCCTCATCTTTTTACTTTACCCATCTCAGTCATTTTTCTTCTTCCACTTTCTTCCTTTTTTTGAGTTGGAAGCAGCTTCCAAATGTTTTTGGTTTTTTTTTTTAAAGAGTTGATATGTGTTAGCTTGACTATCAAAAAAAAAGTCTGCCCCAAATTACAAACAATTCAGGTGAAACTTTGTGCTTGATACATTGTGAAATTCTCAACTTACTATTAATAAAATCTATGCAAACAGTATTATTTACATGAAGCATGGCATACAAAGTAGGATGCATACTGACTGAGGAACTGGAAACAATCTTTGTAAAAGTATTATTCTTCCCTTTTTATCCTTTAATGTGATGTGGGTACCATTCACAAGGCCTTTGTTCATCCCTAATTGCCCTGGAGAGAGTTGTGGTGAGCCCCCTTCTTGAGGGTGTCCTTATGGTACAGTTAGAATGTCCTTACAGTGCAGTTAGAACCTCAATGCAGTGAGGGAGGGAGTTCCAGGATTTTGACCCAGTGATACAGAAGGAACGATGATATCTTTCCAAGTCAGAATTGTGAGTAGCTTGCAGGGGTCCCTAACCTTGGCCCTTGCAGATTGTGGACAGACTCTGGGAAACAGAAAGTGAGTTGCTCGCTGCAGGTTTCCTAGCCTCTGACCTGCTCTTGTAGCCACAGTGTTTATATGGCTAATCCGCTTCAGATTCAGGTCTAACACCAGCTCCCCTAGCATGTTGTTAGCAATGAATTTAGTGATTCTACTGCCATTGAATGTCAAGGAAGCGGAGGGAGGGAAGGTCAATGATGAAGCAGCTGAAGATGGTTGGACCTAGGATACTATCCTGAGGAACTCCTGGAGCTGAGTTGATTGACCTTCAACAACCACAACAGATTCATATAGACCACCATGTCTATACTGACCAACAAACACCAAACTACACTAATCTCATTTACCTGCACTTGCTCCATAGCCTACTATGACCTGGTATTTTAAGTACCAATCTAGATGCCCCTTAAATGTTGTGAGAGTACCTGCCTCCACCACCCTCTCAGGCAGCATGTTCCATATTTCTACCACCCTCTGGGTGAAAACATTTTCCTCAGATCCCCTCTAAACCATTTTCTCCTCACCTTAAACTTATTCCTGTGGCTTAAACATGTCTGCCATTGTGATGAAATTTGCATGATTTACTCAGTCTTTGCTTCTCATAAATTAGTACAATTAGTACACCTCCATCAGATTCCATCCCCCACCCCACCGCCCCAGGTTCCTCTGGTCCAGGAAAAACAAACACAGCCTATCCAGTCTCTCCTCATAACTGAGAATTTCCATCCCATGCAACATCTTGGCGAATCTCCTCTGCAACCTCTCCAGTACAATCACATCCTCCGGTCATGTGGCAAAAAGAACTGCACACAGTATTCCACCTGTGGCCTAACCAATGTTTTATAAAGTTTTTACAAGACTTCCTTGCTCCTATATTCTATCCCCTTCTAATGAAGGCAAGCATCCCATACGCCGCCTTCACCACCCTGTCTACCTGTACTGCCACCTTTGTACACCAAGGTCCCTTTGTTTTTTATTACTCCCTGGGGACCTACCGTTCATTGTGTACATCCTTCCCTTATTGGACCTCTCAAACTCACCCTTATCAGGATTAAATTTAATCTGCCATTGCTCTGCCCAATTATCCAGCTGATCAATGTCAGACTGCAACCTGTGACCATCCTCCTCACCATCAACAACACCACCAATTTTCATATCATCTACAAACTTATTAATTACACCTTCTCTATTCACATCCAAGTTGTTAATGTACTTAACAAATAGCAAGTGTCCCAGCTCCAATCCGTGTGGTATTCTGCTGGCCACAGACTTCCAATCACAGACCTACAGCATCATCTTTTGCCTATTTGCAAATTAGTTTTGGATCCAATTTGTGAACTTGCCTTGGATCCCATAGCGTCTTTTTTGGACCAGGCTTCCATGAGGGACCTTGTCAAAGGTGTTACTGAAGTCAACGTAAATCACATCAGCTACACTACCCTCATCAATATATTTTGCCACCCTTTTTTAAAAACTCAATTATATTAGTCCGACAGGATCTCTCTTTACTAAATCCATGCTGATGATCCCTGATCAATCCTTGCCTTCCAATTGTTGATTAATCCTATCCTTCAGAATTGTTTCCAATAATTTCCCGACTTCTGATATCAGAAATGATATGGCCTATCCCTGTTGCTCCTCTTGAACAAGGGAACCACATTAGCTATCATCCAGTCATCTGGCACTTCACCTATTGCCAGCAAAGTCCTAAATATATCCATCAGGGCCTCGGCCATCTCCTCCTATAGCAGACTGAGGTATATTTCATTAGGCCCTGGATATTTACGTACCTTTATGCCCTCTAAAACATCTAATACCCCTCCTTATTAATCTTATCGTGCTCTCGAACCTCACCATCCAACTGAAATCTCCAGCTACAATGTCTTTCTCCTTAGTTAAGACAGATGAGAAATAATCGTTTAAGACCTCACCCACGTCTACTGGCTCCACTGATATGTTGTTCCTTTGGTCCCTAATAAGTCCCACTGTTTCTCTGGTCATCTTTTTACTCTTAATATTCTTATAAAATGCTTGGGGTTTTTCTTGAACCTATATACTAGAGATATTTCATGACTCTGTTTTCTCTCCTAATTTCCTTTTTAAGCAGCTTTGTACACTCTCTGTACTTCTGTACCTTAGAAGGGCCTCATCTCTTTTCAATGGTCTGTACCTGACAAAAGTTTCCTCCTTTTTCTTAATCAAACTCTCAATATCCAGGGTTCTCTGGACTTGCTGCCCTTGCCCTTAGAGGAACATGCTGGCCCTGAATTCTCACTATACTACTATTAAAAGAGTCTCACCTTCCAAATGTAGACTTACCTGCTCCCAGTCTAGGTTTGCCAGATCCTGTCTAATGATATTGAAACCGACCTACCCCCAGTTTAGACACTTCATTTCTGCTCCATCCTTGTCTCTTTTCATAATAACTTTGAAACTTAGAGTTATGGTCACTATCCCCAAAATGCTTGCCTACTGACACTTCAACCACTTTACTGCCTTCATCCCCAAGAATGAGATCTAGCATGGCCCCAGCTGTAGTAGGACATGCACCAAAACCTCTTCTGGATGTACTTTAAAAATTCCACCTCACCTAACCTTTTCACACTAAGGCGATCCAGTTAATATTAGAGTCAATGGGAATGAGAGTTTAATATTAGCAAAGTTGAAATCCCCTATAATCCCTGTTTCTCTCACACCTTTCTATGATTTGCTGATATATCCATTCCTCTATCTCCCTTTGACTGTTGGGAGGCCTGCAGTATAAACTCAGCAAAGTGACTGCCCCTTTTTTTATTTCTTCCTTTGTGCCAGGTACGACTCCAACCAATGGAGAGGTTTCGCTCTCATTCCCATTGACTCTAATTTTGCCAAGGACTCCTTAATACTACATCTGGTTACATGTGGCCCAGGTGTCACTCTCACATCACCTTAGATCTTGAATTTTGAGCCAATAAAACACCTTCACCGATTAATACTGAAGTCAGAAATGTAGCACAGTCGAAGCCTCTTTTGAGTTGATCAAAATGCATAACGTTCTGAAGAAGGGTCACTGGACTTGAAATATTAACTCTGTTTCTCTCTCCACAGATGCTGCTAGACTTGCTGACTTTCTCCAGCAATTTCTGTTTTGTTTATTTCAGATCTTCAGCATCTGAAATTTCATGTTTGATTATAGTTTTAATTGCTTGTAATTGTTTTCAGGAAAACTATCAATTCAACATCCATTTGTGATCCCAATGTACATGAAGAAAATTAAGTTGGTTATAGCAGAAGGATTTAATGGTAAACGTGAGACAGAATGGAATATTATCTGCAATCATTACAAGAAGATTGCCAAGGACATTGGGAACTTGGATCATCTCATTTGCACAGGTTTGTAAGTTTTAATATTCTATGGTTTAGCACATGGGTCATAAGACATAGAAATGGTGTTTAAAAACAATGAAAGTTTCTGAAGTACTTCAATTTACTGGCTGTCAGGGACAACTGAGTAAAGTCTTGATTTTGGGAAGGCTTCTGAGTTTATGATTCATGGCAAAGAGGCTGCTTCTGTCAAGCAGAGGATGAGCCTAGCGAACATTCTGCCCAGTAGTTGCAAAGGGTTAAAATTTAAAACCATTTTCTTATCTGAGTTTCATTTGAATCATCAACCTGCTGTTACTTTTGCACTAGATTAACAGCGAGAAGGTGCTGGAATCCAGCAACGCCATTGTGGATTCCAGCCAGTCCAGGTAAGCTAAGGATTCAAGAAGGTGGTGATCAGGCTGAAAGACAACAGAAGATCATTTATTGGGCAATTTTCTTCAACTTTTGTGCAGTGGTCTGCAGCAGTGCCATTGGTGACTCCAGGCTGCTCAATGTCAAATAAGCATGACACCTCACCCAGTTATACATCAAGATTGTGTTGCCTTCCTATCGATATTGTTGAATCCCAAATTCCACAGCACAATGAGAGATCCTTATTACAAGAGTGAGCCTGTCCCCCTTCAAAATAGTAATTGGCTGTAAAACACTTTAGGAAGTTCTGAGGTTGTGAACAGTGCTATATGAGTGCAATTCATTTACTACTTTTCTGCCTGTTTCCATCAGTAGTGATGGGAGGGACGTGTTGAGGATGCTGGAAATTTGAAATAAAAACAGAGTGCTGGAGAAACTCAGCAGGTCTGGCAGCATCTTTGGAGAGACAAACAGAGTTAACGTCCAGTATGACACTTCTTTAAAAATGAAGAACTTCGGAGAATATCAGTTCTGAAGAAGTCGTACCACACTCAAAACGTTAACTTTGCTTTATCTCCATCAAAATACCAGACCTGCTGCATTTCTCCAGCACTTGGTTTTTTTTATATAGCCTCATAATGCTAGATGGGTTAATAAGTAAGCAATGTAAAAGGTGAAAAAGTAAAAAATGATCAGACTGGAATTTAATTTGGGCTGATCTATTATTCACACAATTAGGAAATCCACACAGATGTGGTTTCTTATAACCTTGGAAATGTGCTTGTGGCAGCAAGCTGCATCATTAGATGAAGATCTGGATGGATCCGAGGAAAAACAACAGATTTCACTATAGAGAAACAATAAGGGACAAGATTCTCGAGCCCAGTCAAAGTGGGGAACAGAGGTGGACAGAATCTAGCACATCAGTTTCTCCACCCTGTTCTTGGAATCAGCTGTGGTCAGCTGTAGCGAGCTGGGGGCCAGCAAGGATGAGCAGCCTAAGAGGCTGGCAACTTGTAAAGAGCCCCAGTAAAGGTTAATAAAGGAGGTCGACTGGGATTTTCCTGTTAGTCCAAAGTTTTCTGAAGTAACAATGGCTGGGGAGAGGCAGTTCAACTGCTTTGGGGGTGGGGAGGCATTAGTGTTTCCATGGAAGCAGGTACGTTCAGAAGTCACCATCCAGAGGACCTTGCCCCACACAGTGGCCTAGCAACTATTTCTATTGGATTGTTACATTGTGTTTTTAGAAGGCTGCTATTTTTTTGAAGCCCCCTCTCTGTTATATGCCATTCATGCTGCTGGGAGCTGGAAAGCCTCCAATTTTCCCTCCAGCTTCAAACACTCACCAACTGCTGCTAATTTACAGTGAACCTGTCTTCATGCCAAGTGAGGACATGCCCAGCTCAAAATTTCAACTGTTTGAACGGTAGCCCTATTTTAAGTCCTGGAAATGTGTCCTAACTCATGTTTCCTGTCCCCAGAGCAAAGATCCAGCCCAAGATTATCAACCTGGAACCAGGAAATGTGAACAAAAAGGATTTTGTGCAATTATTGAAAAATCATTAAACCCTACACATTCAATGCTATCAATAGGCAATACAGTAGAAAGGGTGCAGTTCTAGAATAGGGTTCAGAAACAGTATAGTTGCTAATTTCAACATTGATTTGCTGCTGATCTAATTTTGGATTGGTTATAAACAAGGGAGAGAATACATTTTTAAAAAAAAAAAAAAAGCCACTTCTTTTGCTTGTATCCTTATTTCAAATCTTATTGGCAACCAAGATTTGTAATCAGTTTTCATAAAGAAAGGCATTGTGAGAAGTCAAAACATTGCCCAGTGCCAAGTTGGTGCCAGCAATTAATATATCAGATGGAAGGCCACCAGGACCAGCAGAGATCCCGATGGTAAAATCTAAACTATCCAGTACAAAAACAAACATCAGTCTAACTGGTGGAGGCATTCAGTCGAGGCCTTGTTATGATCTTAGACTAGATCAGCAAGTTTGTGTTACTTTCTGGATAAGAACCTGTAACTTATCTTTTTAAAAAAGTAAGCAAAGTAATAGATCCAGGGGACCTACTAAGAAAACAAAGCTGCAAGATTCCACAAACAATGATAAACTTTATTATGTAGCATTAGGACAGTAATACAATCTATTACACGTGTAACTAATTTCTAAACCTCAGAATTAATGTGGCAAACATGGATAATAAACTGAGATCAAGCAGTCCACATTACACATCAAATGGTAAATGTGAACAAGACAGATCCCATAGATTTCTCAGCAATTCCCTCCCAGACACTAATGATACAGTGGGTCTTCATATCATAAGAACATAAGAACTAGGAGCAGGAGTAGACCGTCTGGCCCTTCGAGCCTGCTCCGCCATTCAGTAAGATCATGACTGATCTTTTCGTGGACTCAGATCCACTTACCCGATTTCTCACCGTATCCCTTAATTCCTTTATTGTTCAAAAAAAATCTACCTTTTTTTAAAAAACGTTTACTGAAGTAGCGTCAACTACTTCACTGGGCAAGGAATTCCATAGATTAACAACCCTCTGGGTGAAGAAATTCCTTCTCAATTCAGTCCTAAATCTGCTCCCTCTAATCTTGAGGCTATGCCCTCTTGTCCTAGCTTCACCTGCCAGTGGAAACATCCTCTCTACTTCTATCTTATCTATTCCCTTCATAATTTTATGTTTCTATAAGATCCCCCCTCAATCTTCTGAATTCCAATGAATATAATCCCAATCTACTCAGTCTCTCCTCATAAGCCAACCCCCTCAACTCCGGAATCAACCTAGTGAACCTCCTTTGCACCCCCTCCAGTGCCAATACATCCTTTCTCAAGTAAGGAGACCAAAACGGCGCACAGTACTCCAGGTGTGGCCTCACCAGCACCTTGTACAGCTGTAACGTAACCTCTCTGCTTTTAATTTCAATCCCTTTAGCAATGAAGGACAAAATTCCATTTGCCTTCCTAATTACTTGTTGTACCTGCAGACCTACCTTCTGTGATTCATTCACAAGGACACCCAGGTCCCTCTGCATAGCAGCATGCTGCAACTTTTTACCATTCAAGTAATAATCCTTTTTACTATTACTCCTACCAAAATGTATGACTTCACATTTATTTACATTGTATTCCATCTGCCAGACCTTTGCCCACTCACTCAATGTATCTATGTTCTTCTGCAAAGTTTCACAGTCCTCCGCACACTTTGCTCTGCCACTCATCTTAGTGTCATCTGCAAACTTTGACACCCTACACGTGGTTCCCAACTCCAAATCATCTATATAAATTGTAAATAATTGCGGTCCCAACACCGATCCCTGAGGCACACCACTAATCACTGACTGCCAGCTAGAATAGCACTCATTTATCCCCACTCTTTTTGCTTCCTGTTAGTCAACCAATCCTCTATTCATGCTAATACTTTACCCTTAATGCCATGCATCCTTATCTTATGTAGTAGCCTCTTGTGCGGCACCTTGTCGAAGGCCTTTTGGAAGTCTAGGTACACCACATCCACTGGGTCCCCATTGTCCACCTCGCTCGTAATGTCTTCATAGAATTCAAAAAGATTTGTCAAGCATGACCTGCCCTTCATGACCCCATGCTGCGTCTGCCCAACGGGACAATTTCTATCAAGATGCCTTGCTATTTATTCCTTAATAATAGACTCCAGCATCTTCCCCACTACAGAGGTTAAGCTAACCGGTCTATAATTCCCCATCTTTTGTCTACTTCCCTTTTTAAACAGTGGCGTCACATTTGCTGTTTTCCAATCTGCTGGGACTGCCCCAGAGTCCAGCGAATTTTGGAAAATTACCGCCAGTGCACCTGCTATTTCTCCCGCCATCTCTTTTAGTACCCTGGAATGCATTCCATCAGGGCCAGAAGACTTATCAATCCTTAGCTCCATTAGCTTGCCCGACACTACCTCTTCCGTAATAATGATTGTTTCCAGGTCCTCACCTACTTTCGTCTCTTTGTCAATCACTGGCTTCAGTTGTTTCAGCGGCGGGAGTCCGGGAGGAAGCGCGAGTGCAGCCTGGGAAGGTGAGCTTTTCGATTATAAAAGTCTTACCTCACGTGACTCCATTTTTGGAGTAAGTGAGGTAATATATTTGGGCGGTTGCTTTACTCGAAACACTACCTAGGTAGTGTCTCCCACCCATCCTCCTCCTCTAACCAAAAAAAAAGGTTCTGAGCGCTGATTTGGTAAGGCTACTAGTATTTTTTTTTTTTAATTTGTCTGTTTGGGAATTCAGAACAGTGGGAATGGATGTTAGGGCAGTCGTATGCTCCTCCTGTAGAATGTGGGAGGTAAGGGTCACCACTAGTGTCCCCACTGACTTCATCTGCGGGAAGTGCACCCAACTCCAGTTCCTCGGAAACTGTGTTAGGGAACTGGAGCTGGAGCTGGATGAACTTCGGATCATTCGGGAGGCTGAGGGGGTAATTGAGAGGAGTTACGGGGAGGTAGTCACACCTCAGGTACAGGAAAAAAGTAGATGGGTTACAGTCAGGGGACGGAAAGGGAACAGGCAGACAGTGCAGGGATCCCCTGTGGCCATTCCCCTCAAAAACAAGTATACCGTTTTGGATACTGTTGGGGGGGGCGACTTACCAGGGGTAAGCCATG